AAGTTGCAGTAAATTGTCTTCTGAATTAGTCCCGTTCTCCGCTAAACCCCAAAGAAAAAGAGGGGTGTTGAAAACAAACAAACAGCGCTTCATCCCCCCAGCAGTCAGGTAAATTTGTTCATCCATTTGGCTGGCTTATTGAGCTGCATCCAATTGATACGCGATGATTTGAACGCATAGCTTTCCTGAAATCAACAGAATGAGGGACTCCGAAAGTGCACATTGTCTTATTAAGCTGCGTGTACAAAGTGATGGTCTGAGAGGACATGTGTCCCCCCCTAATCTGGCTCATCTGCCCATTGTTGAGAGTTTCCAGGTGCTGGTCCCTCATGCGGACTTCCATCGGTTTCTGAGATCTTGGTGCCGGGAAGCTTTCGAAGGGATGCATTTGTTTGTTGTTCTCTCAGCCTCTGGTTTTTAGCAACGCATTTGGTCTCAACGAGACAAGGCGGCTCACCGAAGCTAGGCAAATGCTTTCAATGTGTGAATGGTTACTCAGGACTCAGAAGGTTGATTCACCATCAGCAGCAGCGGGCAATCATGAGATGCTCAGTGTTTGTTGCCAGTTGTTTGAAGAGTCGAAACAACATTCCCGAGAGAATGCGTTGCTTGGGAACAGAAGCATCGCTGGTCCTTGCGTTTGGAAGACAAGTGGGTATGAGTCAAAATTAGACCACCAGGGAACCGCGGGTAGTCCTTGTTTCCAATGTACCAGGGCATGGCAGTGTGGGGGTACCCTAGTTTTGACCCTCACGTGCGGCGTGACTAGTAACATGGTCTGGTTGGCCTCAATCCAAGTCCTGGTTCCGTTTGTTTTCTCTTGCAAGGGTCATGCTTTGAAACTTCTCCAGATCTTGGGCTCCAGTTGAAACAATTCTTGGGTTCAAGTAGGCCCTGGACCCTTACAGACATTGCTGTCTGGTGGACAATACCGTTGGTCTCGGACACTCTTTGGGAGGCGGTTTCCCAACCGGACATGTCGGATTTCCCAGTTCCCACCAGGGCCCCGAACCCGAACATCCTATCTTTCCTTTGGGGGCTGCCCCTTTTGTCCGGGCATACCCCACGTGGCTAAGAGGATGAGAAGGCCATCGGCTCACTCAACTTGCCCAGTGGGAACCCATCCTTTGAGCCTCTCCCCGATTGTTTCAGGGATCGGTGCTGCCGCCATGTTTGAAGGGATTCGGATCACTGCGGGGGGGAAAGTCCCTGTTTGAATCATCCAGGATCAACACGACCTTTCATTCGCATGTTGCACGAAACTATTGACACCAACCTGCTCAGCCCTATCAGCGCTTTCCAGGTCTTCAGGTTCGTGTCTTGAAACCGGCCGCTGGATCTTGGTTTCCATTGGAAGCCGGTGTGGAGCAAAACGCCGCTGGGCAGGAGTCCCGGCGAGAGTGCGCGAGCAAGAGCTACGTGAACCAGATAAGTTAGATGGATCGATTCGGGCTTGGACTCCCAAAACCTTTTGAGGATTTGAGCCCTGATTCTTGTAGAGAACCCTTTCAGTCCAAGACAAACACCGCGCACCACTAAACCTTCAAAGAAGGGCTGAATCTCCTGCTGCCAGTAGGGCTTTGGTCCCCGGCAAGGCCACCAGTTGGATGGTTTGGGGATATTCCATTTCTCGTTCCCAGCTGAGCACCAGCAAAGTTTTAAGCCGTTCACCGTCCCACGGTCTTTGCGTTGGGGTGAATAAACAGGCTACTGAATAAAAGGTGTTACTATATGAACGCGTTGGGGGTTTATCTCACGCAAGCTGGCCATGCTCAATCAGAGGCGACTGATTTGGTTCTACCATGATTTTCCTGAGAGCAAACCAGCAAATGGCAAATTGATCAACTCCAGGGACTTTGTGCTGTCCCATTGCTTTCCATGTAGGGCTATGACAAACACCAGGAGTTGTTCATGAATTAGACGTAGGCAACCGGCAGCCTTGAGCTTCCATTCGGATGAACCAGCACGCAATTAGATTGGTTCTGGCTGGGCGGCACCCAAGCAAGGCGCCCCTCGCATGCTAAACATCACCCAGACGAGAAGAATGGGAGCAGTATCCTCAGTATGTTTGATTGTCAGCAGATCCATCGTCCAGTCATCAAATGAGCCACACTCAAAACCCGGGTAGATGAAGGTTAGGGACAATCCCGACCATAGATAGCTGCGGATATCCGCCTTACTTCTTAAAGCATGGTTCTGGGATTACGACCATTTTAGTCCCGGGTTTTGAGCAAGTGACTCAAATGTCAGCCGCACCAACCTGGCGCTTGTTTCTCAGGCCTGCACCACGGAAATTGTTCATATGGAGTTCGTAACCGGTCCCAACGGTGTTCCACTAAAGCTTTCATCATTGCAAAGCCTCGTGAAGTGAGTCAATCTGAGTCGATGCACTTGGCTTGCCACTCTCACAACTTGCCATTCGAGGGCGCGGATCGCTGCGTCACCGATGTTGCAGGCGTAGCGTTGACTTGCAGAAACCAAACCTCGGCGGTTCCTAGCCGCACCCTTGGAAATTTAGATGTTCGAGAAATTTCAGAGATATGATATATAACACATCCCGCGAAAAAAGAGCTTTTGATCTTTCAGCAAGGGCCCAGCGGGCCACCAAGAATATCTCAGTTCGAACCAACAAACCCGTGACCAACTGTTAGTTGTTCCCGCCATTGAGTTGTCAGCCAAAGCCCAACGACCCCCAGTGTCAAAGGTTCGACCAGTTGGTCTTCCAACGGGTTCTACTGATTGCTGGGTGCCAGGCGCCATCCAGTGACTTGGTACATTCTTTCCAGGAACGGGATGGATGTGCTAGCTCCCAGATGGAAGTCTTTCAGACTATCGATGGGTTCTCCTTGTCTATCCGAAGGATTCAGCATGAAAGCTACCTGAAGTTCCGTAATGAAACAAGAGGCCACAGCAACCTTAAGCAGCGGTTTGTGGCTCCGCAAAGAATGTGCTTAGTAGTTGTGGATGCTTATGACACGTTACAACGGTCTGTTTGTTATTTGATTGTTGGTGTCTCGTTTGCTGTTCCTTTACCCCCTGAATGTCCTCTGGCGTCGATTCGAATTGCCTAGCGTACGTATGGGTTGCCTTCAATTTGCATCGCGGGTCAATGCTTGGGCCTGCCTTGATGCCGCGCCGTAGGGATGCTCGCTTTTTTTTGATGATGCGCCCAGGTTCTCCCAACAAAACATGGATGTTCGGAAACAGGCTTGTTTCGCTCAACTTGTGCAGGGGCATGAAGAGATGCAACAACGAACGCGGGAGTTTCTCGAAGTTGGACTAAGTCCCCCAGTAGTGCCCTTTTACCCTTTTTTGCAGGTGGTTTCCCCTACTAAAATAGACTACAGAAAAAGGGTACCCTTGTTCTAACCTCTCGACTGGAGGACCTAGTGGAGTTTGACAGATGTATACTCCAAAACTTGCGATCATTGTGGGCCGATTGAGAAGAGCAGGGTGAGGAGTGTAAGGAATATTTGGGTGGGATTCGCATGTTTCCTCCTTAGTTCAAAGTCAATTCTCGTCATTGTTCCTTCACTGTCAAGCAGCGTTGGCATGCAGCGTTGGTGCATGCTTAGTCATGGGCCAAAAGGCGAACATTGTTTTCCTGATTTGCTGGTGCAAGTGAGTCAAGGATAGAAGTATACATATATTAATATATGATCAGTACAGAAACGTGTTCAGCGCTAATTGTGCGGCTGGACTTGTTAATTGCTTTGTTTCAAAGAATGCGTAAAACGCTGAGCCGTTGCTTTCTGTTCGTGGCGGGCCCGGTGTGCATCAAACAGTGAGCGCCGTGTGCGGCGTCAAACATAGAGAGCCGGCAAAGTTACATGGGTGCAGTTCTCAATCCGTCTTGGCTGCGACCGGCGTACTAGCCAAGCGCCGAGCGGCCGGAGACTGGAACACAGCGAGAGCATGCGAGCGCCAAAATGGATTTGCGAATGCAGCGGGCACACAGCAGAGACTGGCGCTGGTTTCCGTTGGGTAATCATTTAATTCCCCAACTGGAAGCCAAGGGGTCTCAGCCCAGATCAGTTTCGGCGTGGCTTGGGGGTGGCTTGTGGTTTTTCGGGCGGGTGGCTGTTGGGGATATCACCTGAGCGTATTGTTTACTTTCATAATCTTAGAGGGTGCGACTCACCAAAGCCGACAATTCGGAACTGCTCACAAAATTCGACTACTGTGCCGCCAGAGCTGGGGGACAAGAGCCAGACCACTGTCCCGGATGTCTTTTGGGTCAACATGATGGACCTGGGTTCTGACACCCTCACGGCTCAAAATGAAGTGTTGCAGTCCAAATTATGTTTCCGCCCACAGAACTGGCTGGGGCGAGTTACCCCTTGTCCCAAATGCAATACCCGCAACCAGTCAAGTTTGTGGAACAATGAGACATTCATCCCCTTCCTAGTTGTTTTTTGGAGAGATGGATGGAACCAACATATTTGGCCTGAAGTGTCCTTGCCCTGCTCATCTTACCCACCAAGCATCAATGACCATCAATCAAGGGCTGCATAAGCAAGGCGGGCAACAATGGGATAAACAGCAAACCCGGGTTTGCAAGGAAATGCAGCACTACCTTTTTAGACCATATTCCAAAGTAACCATTCAAGGAAAGACACATTTTCGGGGGGGGGGGTGGCTTAGATATGACGTGTGTGTGTGTGTCTCTTTGTCAATCACCTATATTTCCGGCAGAGATGAGGCCACTTGAGGGTCAAGACACTCAGAGTCGAGCAATATGGTCAAAGCCTCGAGCGATAGCTAGGTGAGCCTTGATGTAGGTATGGGTCGAGCCTCGGGCAACCCCAAAATATCTTGCCCTGGTAACTTGGAAACAAGGACTACTTGCGGTCCGCTGGTGGATTGATTTTGCCCCGCACCAGCTTCTTTTCTCCAAACGCCAGGCTGAAATTCTGGAAGATCTGATCTGTATCAAACAAGTCCAACCAAAATGGCTTGGTCCAACTCAACGCAGAAAATATGTGGTCTAATTTTGCCAGGACGAGGCCTGCTGAGGCGGGTTGGTTCCCCGGCGGGGCAGGCCATAGGGGTAAAGACCAGGCAGAAAGGGGTTCCCTAGACCTTCCATTGCCTGAAGTGAAGATATGCTTGTTACTAGTTTCTCTTGCTGGTTTTAAAGGAAATCCATCTCACTGGGAAATACATGTTTTTTTGGGTTCTTTTGTTTTTTTTCTCCGGGCGAAAAAGGGAAATGGGAGCCCGGGGAACTGCAGCTTCGCGGAAATTCTCACGCCAGCAACGAGGCAGCAATCGAAGGTGAAGAGTTCCTAGCTCGATCGACATTTCGGGCAAAGGTGAAGCTCCTTCCACAGTAACCTTTCCTTTAGTGAGATCTTACAACATGGGGGAGGGGTATCCATAGGTGTAAGTGTTGTGAAAGAGGGGTGGAGACCAAGATGTGAAAAACAAATGCACAGCTGTGTGGTGCTGCCTGCCGATTCACCCCCCACTTTTATATCAAATGACACATACGACTCGGTGTCCAAACCATGACAGCCCGAAGAACCGTTTCAAGAATCGCGACGATAACACGCGGCACGCTGAAGAACAGTTTACGACAAGACTATTACTCCCGCTAGGAAATCTCTTGCAACTTCCAATTCAGGCGCATAAAGTGCAACTTGCAACGATTAGTTCCAACTCCTGCCATGCACCTCCAGGAGGTGCACAAACCAATGATGCCAACCACTTCGAATTTGGCCCTCTAGCCCTTACAACCTGCAATGCCTACTTGTCCATAGGCCAACCACGTCAGCGAATTTGTTGGCCAAGAAACCCCAAATGCAACCAGAGACTCAAAAAGCTAAGTCGGCTGCTGTCCTCATCAGGGCTGTTCCAAAGACCTCAAGAGGACACTTTCATTCTAAAGCGCAAGCAAAGAACAACATAAACCCACGGTTTTTCTGTACAATAACTTTTAAAGGGAAGGCATGCTTGTTTTATGGAGGCCCCAATCATGGAGACCCTGATGCAGGCCCGTGATAATAAATACCAGCAGGAGCAAGCCAGCCCTTTGGCTGAGTGGAGAGTTTCGCTGAGTGGATATTTTTTGGGGGGAGTTTAGATTTGGTTTAGTATTGGGTACTGTCAAATAAGTATTGGCGTTTTTGGGGAACCCTTGTCAATAGGAAGAAGGGATCACTGATCGTGAGATCGGGACCCTTACAGAGATCCACAGGTTCGTGTTCAAGAAACATGCATCCGATTCAGCAAATGCCATGCCAAACTTTTAAGAAGCCAGAGCCGTCCCCAAATCGACCATTCTTCGGGCCTCAGGAAATCCCAGCAACTCAGCAAGGCTTCCAGGGAGGCGTCGTTCACAGTTGGGAGAGAGCAAACCGAAACATTTCATTTCGGCCACCCCTTCGAATGCCAAATCACCCAATGTCCATGAGCGCTGAGCTGCGCCAGCAGACCGAAGAGCTCCACGAAACAACATGATAGAGCATCCCATATCCAAATATATTGCGAGTATTGAGGACGTCGTGTCAAGGGGCAACGCGAAGCCAAGATTCAACCGGTTGAATTTTGAGTCTTAGGTTTGGTGCCCCCTGAAAAAGAGGGGAATGAATAGAACCTGGATCTGCCGGATCGGTTCCTGAAAATTGGGGGGGGGGGGGCATTTCACAGAATTTCCGCACACCAACCTTGACCCGGCTTCAAGCAGAGAGAACTATGGCGGTTTCGTCTCAGTTGTGTTGTGGCTCACTGACCGCTCCTGACACCTTTTGCCCTAGACTATGAAATCCTGGCAACAAAAAGTCACAAGCAATTTGAAATCGACCAGGTATGCCGTATGCTGAACAGTGTTGCACCCTTTCGCAAGGTTTTGGTTATGATTTGGCTCGGAGAATGCTCCCAAAGCTTCAGCCCCAAGCCCCCCGCCTGGTGCGCCAGCTGGGCGCAAGTTACCCCCAGTGCCTCTCCCAACTGCGCAGGCCAGCAATGCTGCGAAGGCCGGCTCATCTCAAACGCCGCAATTACTATTGTGGCTGCGCGATGTACCAAAATCAATGTAAGTCGTATACTGGAATAACGTGCGTTTATGTTCATATGTTTGTGTGTTTGGGTGTGTATTGTCACGTTGTTTGTTTTGTGTGTATGTGCGGATGTGTGTGTGACTCATGTAAGAACCTGGATCCCGGTGCAGGAAACATATGAAGACCTAACCTCCGATCATGTCGGCAAAGACGAGCACCCGCGCGCAAAACCAGAGTGGTGCGATGAAGGTGAAACCGAGGACATTTTGAGTTGTGTTCTTTGTTTTGTTGTATTTGTTGTGTTGAGTTGTTGGTGTCAAACCGAAGTTCTGATGTCAGTGAGGACAACTTGCCGAAGAAGTTACTGGAATGTTCGCGAAAAAATTATGCGCGGCACGTTCGTTACCTCTGTGAGGACAGCAAGTGGTATGCACGGCTCGAAGATCTTGGAGACAACGACACTGCTGTTTTTGAAGTTCTGAAGGCAGAGAAACATGCAGACTGCGAGCACGGCGGTTACTCCTTGGACGTGAGCTTTCAGGGTGGCTGGCCCAATTACGAAGCAGCGCCGCCACCTTGCTGCGATGGGACTCATTTATGAGGAAGTGGCTGCTGACCACATCTCTACATCTTTGCCCTGACCCTGCATGCAAATGGCATGGCCGGTGGTTTTATTTGCTAGACGGAAAGAGATTGGCGGAAGAAGCTTTTACGCTGGCTGTTGGAACTTGGCAGCGATATGTTTTGCGCGCAGAACTGGAACACGCTTTCCGGGATCGTCCGAACTTTCTCTGATACAAATTGAGCAATCGCTCACGCAACAGAGCCATGATCCAGAAAGCGGCGTGAAAATCCAGCCGTGGCAAAGCCGGCGCTTGGCGAAACTGCTGCCGGTGTCCGTAAGGCTGGCTTCTGGGCCTGGGCTCGTAAGGAAACAAGTTGCCGGCTTCATCTCTGTGCATTCTGGACAACGGCAACTCTTTGACCTGCGCAAGGGAAGGATCCGACCAAGGCTGCCAGGAACTGGGAAAAGTTTGCGAAGAACTATGAGGTCAAGTTTGGCAGCCCTAACTTCCACGACCTCGATGGTTTGAGCGACTGTAGGTGCCATGTGCGCGGTCCTGTTGACTTGGCGCACACTGCCAAAACAGGCGTGTTTGTGTTCACTGACATGTTTTTTGAGTATACTTTTGAACTGCAGCAGCTTTGCGCAGAAGTTACGCAAGCAGCCGCAGTGGTCTTACCTCAGCTGTCGTTTTTAAACGCTCTGGCCGCGGCGTGAATACTATCGAGGGGCAGCAGCCACGCACGACCCGATTTGGGAAGGCATTGGCTGTCCCCTAAACACTCGCTGCAAAGACCGCTCACACTTGTTGACAGATTATAAGCAGTTGCATGATGGAGCTGTCATGCCTGCTTGCCTCCTGCGGCAAATGCAAGAGAGCTCTTCCAGGTCAGGCCGGAGGTTTGCTGTTTTCTTCATGACGAACCATTTCTTCGGCGCATTGTCTCTGACAACGTGTGCTTAACTAACGCCCCTGAGGCTCACCCGGAAGCCCCGGAGGTGAAGCGCATCGCGTTGCGCGCCCTGTTCGCGGACAGTGATTGTCAGCGCAGCGTGATGCTCTATCATGAACACATTGATTCCGCCATGCGCCAGCAGGGCACTCTGCTGGCAAGACACGCCACAGTTTCGAGTCGCTTTGCGCGACTGTCTGCGCGCTGGTTTGTGGGCCTGCAAAGTGACCTTCAAGGAAAACGAATGCCAGTCCTTGTTTTTCCAGACTGGGTGCTCGGAGTTGAGTTTACACATGCTGGAGCTTCCACGCTGCTCTTTGGGAACAGGCTGCCCGGTTGCCCCGCTGCGTTTCTTGCAGGTGGACTCTGATTTGGAGCTTGCTTCCCCTTGAAGAACTTCAAGCCACGTCGGTCCGAGCTTTGGTTGCCTTCAACGACATTCTGCTGCCAGACGAGGAAGCATTGCAGCAGGACACCCAGCCGACTTCAGCCATGCGTGTTAAGCGCTCTGTGGACTGCTTGTTATCTCAGCGCGAAGACAGGACAGACTCTCCCTTCCGCTGCAAGATCCGGCCCACCGGCCCTGCTTCTGCTGTGAAGTGAATGTTGCGGGCGCGCTCCGAAGAGACGCACCAAGTGGTGCTGATGCAAGCCGATGCAGTCAACGAATGGACCGTTTTGTGGCGTGAAGAAGTTAAGCCTGCAGCTCTGTCAGCCACGAAGACCTTCTATGAACACACTTGCGTGAGGCAGAGAGGTGGATCTGTTCTTAACTTCGAGAGTGAATGGACGCCAGTCTTGAGGGAGGCAATGCCTAGTGTACCCAAAAAGAGTTCAGCCTGGCATGACACTTGCCAGGATGTGATTTGTGAAGTTTGCCCAAACAGGCCAGCCACACGGCTGACGCATTTTGCAAAGGCCTTGCCACGTTGCACGATTCGATTTGAAGAGGCAACGACAAGAAGACATCTTATTGGTCAAAACAAAAAAGGAACTTCAATGTTTGCCTGGCAGGAGAAGTGCACAAAGAATAAGGCAGGCGTGGGGGGGCGTTTCACTGACACAAACAACTGAATCAACCACTGCCTGTTTATGGCAACTTTTGTGAATGTGAGCATCATGATATGAGTGCTTTCTGAAAACGTAGAGCAGATATTGTCAGTGCTTGTCTGCTTTTCTCAGACTGCGTTCAAGTCACTTGTCATACAGTCGGTCTCATGTTGGTCGCGCAAGGCGATCGAGCAGCCTCCTCTTGGCTAGCAAACCACTGCGCCGCTGCGCAAAAGTGGTGCTTCCAGGAAGAGTGGGCTTCGCCCCAGTACTCGTGGTATTGCCACTGTAATTCAGAGCTCGACCTCAGACCACTCACCGCTGAGCGATGCCAAGTGATCCGTGATTGAACAAATAGACGGGTTGTCGCGCGACAAGGCAAAAAGCCTGCAGTGGAAAAAGGGCATAGTGCCAACTGCGCGACGCAAAAAAAGCTGGGTATGTGCGGTTATCCGGTCCTTTAATTTTGTGTGTATGTGCGGATGTGTGTGTGTGTGCTTGTCTTGGCGAGTTTATTTTGTTTCTCTCTCTCTCTCTCTTTGTTTTTGTTTTTGTTTGCGTGTCTGTGCGTGTGACAGTGTGTGTGTGTGTGCGTGTGTGCGTGTGCGTGTGCGTGTGTGTGTGTGTGTCTCTGTGTGTGTGTTTGTTTGTTTGTGTTTTGTTTTTTTTGTTTGTTTGTTTGTTTGTTTGTTTGTTTGTTTGTTTGTTTGTTTGTGTGTGTTTGTGTGTGTGTGTTTGTGTGTGTTTGTGTGTGTGTTTGTGTGTGTGTGTTCGTGTTTGTCCATGTGCTTTGGCTTTTGTTTATGTAGTGTGTGGTTGTGTTTTTGATTGTTTTTGTGCAAGTGCCAGTGTATGTGTATGTGTTTGGGTGTGTGTGTGTGTGTTTTGTTGTGTTCTTGTTTTGTTTGTTTGCTTGCTTGCGCGTTTCTTTGTTTGTGTCAAAATGCGGGCACTTTACCCTCCATCATACTTAATTCTTTACTTGCATGGATATGCTAACTTTGGTTGGCATAAGCCTGCATATACTTCAGACTCACTTTAGGGTGACCTGTTAGTTGTAGTACTTAGGTACTTGGAATTGTCCATTGAGTGCTTGTGTGCTTGTGGTTCTGCTTGCGTGTATGTGTATGTGCGCGTGTGTTTGTGTATGTGTGTGAGTGTTTTGGGAGTTTGTTTGCCTGTGCGTGCGCGTGCGCTTTTGCGTATGCGTGTGCGTGTGCGTGTGGGTGTGTGTGTGTGTGTGCGTTTAATTTATTTGTTGGTTTTTTGTTTTGTTTTTTGTTTTTTGTTTTTTGTTGTGTGTGTGTGTGTGTTTGTGTGTGTGTTTGTGGGGCCCCGGGTTGTTCTTTCCTGGGTTTGGCTGGCCGGGTCGTCACCCGAAAGCAACCCTAAACAAACCCCAGATCACATACACGCATTGCCCCAAAGTCTGCTGACTTTTGGAGAACAACTGATGCGACGTGTTGCGAGTTTCTCCATTGGGACTGCAGCTCATTATGCGATCTGTGACGGAGTAGTTCGCTGGACTTCCCGTCATTTGTCCATAGCACTCGTCATGTTTCCGGCTTGGACGTTTCTAGAGCCTGCTCAGCTGCAAATCAGCTTCGATTGCTTTTGTCCACGACCAGAAATTGACTCCCAGGCCAGTTCGCACAAAGAAATCACTTGCCCTTGTCAGAAAACGTTTGGTTTGTCTCGGGGCTAGGATTACTCACCTGCTTTGAGTGTAGAGGGGGTTGATAAATACATGTGGATATTGACACTACCCTTTCCAAAATCAACACAATAAGGCCATTGGCGAAAGGTGCTCCGTCAGTCACTTTAGGTCTGAAAGCAAGTGGATGTTTCTCAAATAGACGACGCTGCAACATGGGTTGTTTCCACTTGGTTTCCCTTCAACCCCAACCAACAAGAGGTCTACCATCCTGAGCCCACAACGCCGCGTTGGACAAGCACATTGCAACACATTGCACCCCCAAAGGATCCGAGGATGGCTGTCACCTCACTTGCCCCGAAGAGAAAAGAACAAGGGATGAAGCTTCAGTTGACCTTTTGCGTCGGCCGCTTCAACCACTGCTTAAAGACCTCTGGGATCTTTTTGGGACGTGGCGCCCAAAGGACCTGCTGATTCCGTAGAACTTGGGAAAGCAAGCGATGAGTTTTTGTTGGCCATGAACCCAGGAACCAAGGCGGGGCCGTGCAAGGTCGCTCCGAGTTTTTGCAAGGAAGAATACTGGGCAAAATACTGAATTGGATATCGAATCACCTGGGCAGAGTACAGAATTGGATTTCTATGCCACGCCACCCACACCCCCCCATTCGGCGCTTCTCGTCGCTAGGCGGCGGCGTCAGCGGATCCGGCAGCATCATCCCCAGTCCCGGCATCAGCTGGCAGAGCCAAATGGGAGAAACTCTCAGAACGGAGCGCTGAAAAGGTGAGTATTGGAAAGGGAAAACCGGAGGGAACCATCCATTTTTTTGGGAGCCCTATTTTGAGAAACTCCCAGATGGGGTTGTTTCTTGAGGGTGGGGTTGTTTCTTGAGAGTAACTTTTCGTTGGGTGTTCTGAACAGCAATTCAACCCTTTTTTTTGTCTCCGGTGGGAGGGGTCCTATTTACAGATCTACTGTCAATGGGGACGGTCAGCTTTTAGCACACAGCAGCTTGGCGAGCCCTGCCATGTGCACCCGTTGCGCCGATTGCACGAATTGCTCGCCTGCCAGAAAACTATAGCTTCCCTTTGAGTTGAGAAGTAGCTGGCCTGCCAGAAATTGGCAAATTCCCATTCACAACCATATAGGTGTCCTTTTTGGTTGTTTTGGTGGAAAACTAGTTTACCTCGTAATTCAATCATCTACAAAACTATCTATTTTATCCTAAAAGGACACCTATGCACACAACCCTTCCAGTAAGTTTTCATACTTTAATTAGGTATCTCTGCATGCTTAGATGTATCTCATATTTGTGTCTGTGCCCTCGATACACTTGCCGTGACCTATGGAATACGTGAAATGTTTGACACTGGTGAGCAATGGCCAGCCTGGCTGGGGGAGCGATTTTGATGGCGCCCTATCGGCTTTGCAGATTGGTGGCATTGTTTTCTTGGTGATTCTGCCAGGCTTTCACCCTGCCCCAAAGCAAACCAACCTTGCATGTCAAATGGGGGGGGAAAGCACAAAATGGGCTCCATGCTTTCTTTTGGTTTGCTTTTAATCCAACCCACAAAAACACTTGTCGAGCTCCTTTGGTGGCAAGTGGGTCAAGGGCGGTCATCTCGGACCTCCTTGCTGCCGGCACAAAACTGTCAGGGTCTCAAAAAGGGCCAGTCAATCTCATTATGGGCCTCTTTTGATTGAATTGTGTTGGCGTACCTTCAGGGCATGTGGGGACCTTTCCCGTTTTTTTGGGGGTCCTATTCCAAGAGAACGCTCCATACCTACAACAGAGTCCATTCAAACAGACGGGTCAATGAATAATTTTCTTCTCAGGCGGAGGGGTCTGGCGAGGGCGCTGTCAAGAAGGAGCAAGAGGCTGGCACCGGGGACTGTCCCCGGTGGGTGCCAAATTGAAGAAGGGCCACATCGCCATATCGGAGGCTTACAAGTTGAATTAAGTTTTCGCTTGAACAAAACTCTCCCCTTGCCAGCCACGGCTGTTTGTGTGTGTGTGTGTGTGTGTCGTTCAACGCGCAAGACAGACCTTCCACTATATAGTTGGAGCCCCCACGTGCTTTATCTGATTTGTGAGTGTTAGGAATCGACTCTCAGACGATGGACACGTATGAAGCCACAGGCTTAGCATGAAGTAAACAGGCCCCCTCCTCCTCAAGAAAACAAACAAGGGCTCGACTCTCCTTTTCGACTGACTGAGGTTTAGTGAGGTGACGCGTGCTTCGGGGATGCGCCGAACATTCCTCGGGGTTCTTTTCGGGCGTTGCGGCACTTTTTGGGGGGCCCTGTAAATTGGGCTTTAGAATGGGGGGGGGTGGGGGTGGGGGTCAGAATTGTATGAATAGCTCAATTTCGAGACCACCCAAACACGCAATCCGGGAGTGCTTTGGGGATGCCGCTAGCCCACCCCTTTGGTGGGGAGGGCCTCTAAATTGCGCTGCACATGCAGAGCAGTTGCGGTGTGGCCAGACCCTTAAGGCTGCCAAGATGACAGGGCTTGTTAAGCCTTATTGAGACTTATTAAGTCTTAGTAAGACAAATTGAAGAACCATGAAATAAGGCCTATGAAGGATACTAAGGATTAATATCCTTCAAACTGCTTGGCTGCGCAGGGCTGGCGCTTATTCTGTTGGGGGTTGGTTGCTTGGGGGGGGGGCACTGTTCACCTCATGCGCTTAGTTAGTTTTGGGCCACCTGCCAACTGCGGCTTGATTTGGGGTTGACCAGCTGGCTTGGCCCCACCAGCCACAGAAACGACCCCACAGCCGTTGCTGCCTTACTTGGTACGGCTGCGCTGGCGCTTATTCTTTTTGGGGGGTTGCTTTGGGGGGGGGCTGAATCATGAGCTTAGGATAGTTTTGGCCACCTGCCAAACTGCCCCAACCAGCCACAGAAACGATCCCATAGCTGTTGCTGTACAGTCTGGCTTCACCTCAATCGCCTGCGAATCTTCGAGTTGTTTTGGTGGCCCCGGGCTGGGTCGATCACGTCCTCGTATTTCTTTGAACCGGGCCTTGAACAGGTCCGTGCCCTAGGGCCAGGCGCTCAATTGGTTTCAGAATGTTACCCTCCTTGCTTGAGACGAAAAATCCAGGGGCTCGGAATGACAAATATCTCTTGGACTTTTTGCTAGAGCTGCCAAAACACTGCAAACCGATGCTGAGGAACACAACAAAACGATACTGACCGATACTAGATCATAGGATAAAAGGAACGTGCCCATGTTTTTTGGACTGTTTGTAAGGTCCCGAGTGACCACTGAACATTCAGGGGCTCACAATGACCAATTTCTCTTGGACTGTTTTCATGGGGTTTTACACTACCCCCCCAACACTATGAAACAGGCTGTGAGACTCGCATTTTGGACCACCCCATAAGGTCCCTCTCCAGGCCACCCGTTTGACCCGCCTGAACCCCTCCCGCATCTGGAATAGGCTGAGCTGGACGGCCTGGACCGGTGGCTGCGAAGCCTCGACGGCCCCGGCGTGATGCTGAAGTGCCCCACCGAGCCAGCGGCTCCTTTCGGCTTTTGCAAGGACCTATATTTTGTTTGTGTGTGTGTGCGTTTTTTTTTGTTGTTGTTGTTTGTTTCTTTTTTTTTTTCCCCAGATGCGAAGTGTTGCCATGGAGCTGGGTTTTCGCCAGCTTTGACCTCCGGGCGTTTTCGTGTGTCCATCATGATCTTGGCAAGACAAGATCGTGTGAGGATGCATTTTGCATCGTGGTTGCGCAAATGGAAGAAGTTCAAGGAGTTGATTGTTCCCAGGCCTGTGCGTGTGCCTGCTAAAAGGTGAATCACGGTTTTCGGGCTGAACCATCACCTTCCCTTGCCTTTCATCATTTGTTCCTCAAGCCCGTGCGTTCCTATTTACAGTCCCCATTACCCCTGGGTCTTTGGAGAGCATTGAGGCACCCATGTGTCGGCCGGCTTCGATGTCAGGTACTCGGCAGCCTTGCACAGGGAGTTCAGCGACCTTTCGGAAGTGGCTCGACATATATGGGGATTGTCCAAGCTCCTGGCAGTTCCCCATTGCTTGATGGTGCGATAGGAACGACCAAGCCGGGTTTTTCGAATGAATGTGGGGATTTGCTTGAAGGAAGTCTTAGGACGGATGGTTTATTGGCTTATAGGGGGTATTCCCTCATTCCCTGCTGAGATCCAGCAAGATTACAACGCATTCCCAACTTGTTATGTTTGTTTGTTTTTGTTTTCAGGTTTCCCTTCAACACTGAACTACGGTTCTGTGAAGCAGACACACCTGGAGTCTCATGCCTCTTGTTCAAACAATAGGGTTGGCGATCGCCCGCAAAACATGTGTGTTTGTTTTTTAGGGGACCCAAAATGGCTTCGGTGTTCCTTTTGGTTTCCCTTTAAAGCCACCAAACAAAGGGGAACAACGATACACGAGAGCGTTTCAATGGGCCTTCCCGGTTGCTTTATGTTGGTTCCTTAAACAATGGGTGTCTCCAAAAAATGAAAAAAATGAAAGATGGCTGCGGTTTGCCTTTTGGGGGCCCTTTGGAAACCGCCCCAAAAAGGATACCCTCAAACAAAGACACACCCATTCTTGCATTGGTAATCATAATTCACCTAGTCGGTGCTGAATACCGAGCTACTTCGTTCCTCTAAAGGAAGCCACAAGGGAACATGGAGGGACGTCGTGCTTTTTCTAAAGCCCCAATTTGATCAAGTTGTCTTGCTTGTGTACTGCAAGCAGGTGTCTGCCTTTGAGGGTGCCTGTTCGCGCGCAACAACTCCTTGATTGTGTGATCTGCAGCTTTTGGAAACCATTGGGCAACGCGTGGGAATGTGTCAAAAGGCATCATTTGTTTTTTTTTCCAAGTCCCCGAATGAAAACTGTATTTGTTCGACAGCTATATCGTTGCATAGAGCATTCTTACTTTTGCCACTATTACCGGGATGGCCACAGATCCTTTAGGGACTTGACTGGTGCGCGGGTGCCAACCAGGCATTCACAGGAGAAAAAGACCAAAACAAAAAATAACCGCCTGGCGCCATGTGATCTAGCAAGCCTTCCCCAAGGTTGGGAATTTGGGCCAAGAAGTAAGCCCGAAAGTCCCAGTTTGGGTTGGAGGCCCGATGGAACCCGAAGGACCAAAGCTCGGACTTGTGTTGCAAGATGCCTATGAAATCGTGAACCCCCCCCTCTCCTTACACCATGTGCCACTTGGTTTGAGACATCTTTCTCTTCAACCTGCAGGTTCCGTGACTAGTAAAATCCCCTGACACCTCCAGGAAAATCCGACAGCTTCGTCCACAACTCGTGGGATTTGGTGGCTGCAGTCTGTTCCTGTATGTTGATGAAGCAGCTTGTGCTTGGTCTTATTGGATTGTGTCAAGATGGGCGGGCACACACATGCACACACATCGCACACATACGCACAAACCTCCCTTTTGACTGGCTCGTCTTTTCCTTAGGGTACCTTCCCGGCCTAGGGCAGACCAAAAGGACGCCCACCTTTTTGGGTCCCCTCGCTGTTGGCAGTTTTTTTTATAATGTTTTTGAGGTCCTCTCCATTTTTATCGTGGGCCAAACACCACCGAGAAACCCGCAGTTTTCGGTTTCGGCCAGCTCCAAACAACAGCCACCCAGTTGTTTTTTGGCCAGCCCAGTTGTTTCAAGGGTCGTGTTGACGTTTGAACCAGCAGCCCAAGGGTTGTGATGACGGTTTAGCAGCTCCGGCGGCAACAAAAAGCTGACGAGTGGCCTGAGGCCCAACGTTCGGCCGCCGGTTTTGGTCCTATTTCCCGTGGCCAGTTCCAGACACCCGCCCCTTCTTTTTATTTTTGTTTTTCCGTTGGCCCGGCCCCGGGCGGTTTTTTTTTGACCATGGTTCCTCCCGCCGCCTTTCCGGCGGGCTTTTTCGGCGGCAAAACGAAAGCCGAAGCCCGGGCGGCGGGTTTCGGCGCGGTTTTCACGGCCCAGTTGTCCGCCGTGGTGGTGGACCCCAGCGCCAAGGGCCTGAAGCTCGTGGAGCCCAGCGTCTGGGAGGCGCGGTACGACCGGCGCCTCCCCGTTTCGCCCCCCGCTACGGGGGGGGGGGTTCGGTCGGAAAATGGGCGAGGCTCGCTCCCATACCTGGTGTTTTTTTTTTTTTTTTTTTTTTTTTTTTTTTTCTGAGCCCCAAATAAAGTTGGGCCAAGCATTTTGTAAGGGCCGTGACTGGGGCTTTCCCCAGCCCAGCCATGACTCGGTCCCATAGTATCTTGATTGCCATTGGGTTGAATCTTTCTAGACTTGACTTTTTGGGCAATCGCGGGTTTTTCATTTCACCCACAAGAAGTTTAGCTTTTGGCAGAGGGGTCAAGAAAAACCAAGGTACCTGGAGTCTCCTTCTGACCCAAACAAAAAATGGGTCCATGACCCTAAATACATTTGGGTGACCAACCATGTTTTAAGGGTCATGACTCCAGGTAGACCCTCCTTAGCACCTTTGAACCATCCCCCCCCCCAAAAAAAAGAACTGGAGGCAGAATTGACCAACGAATAGGAACAGAACGAAGCCGAAAATGGTTATTCTGACTATTGGGTTGGGTCCGTGAACTTCAGCTTTTTGGTTGGAAACAGGTTGGATTTGCAGAATTGGACCGAGCGAAACACTTAATTGGCCTAGGTCCCAGTAGTGCCCTTTCTCACCCCGTTTTGGTTGAGAGGGTTCCCCTGCTAACATAGAGAAAAAAATGGTACCCATATTCTAACCTCTCTTCTGGAGGACCTAGTTCGGGTGATCAGAAGGTCCAATGAAGATGGGATGATGGAAAACCACCAAAAAGATATGGTTTTTCCGACACGGGAGAAATACCGATCGACATTGGGGGGGCCAGGAATATAGATCAACAAACAGAAATGTGGCTTTCCTCCTGGTTTCCCTTTAAACCAAACAGAAAAGGGTTCCCTCAACAAAAAGCACACACACAGACATGTTGCTGGCGGAGTGCCAACAAAAAGCTCATGGTTCGATGAATTGCTGGCCCAACCAAAGACCACATTTGTCGTTTTGTACACCAACCCTTTTGGGGCTCCAACCCCAAAGACACATCTCGCAACGTCACCATTTCCGCCCCAACTTGGGGCCACAACAAGACACTCGGGCCGGGGTAGGAGTGGATCCCAGAGGTTGTTTCTCCGATTCAGCCCGCCCAACCCGGGGAAAAAAAAACGCCCCTCGGGCCGCTCGGGCCGTTGATTCATCGGAGGCCTTGGGCATCGAGACGCTGGGCCACAAGCTCTACTTCTGCAATGGCCTGAAGAAGCTCACGTAGCCCCGCGGCCTCGGATCTTTTTTTTTGATGTTTTTTGAATTTTGTGATTCGTTTTTTTTTGCTCGGGCCGGTGCGTGGTGCAGGGGGGGGAAGGGAGGCGCGGCTTCTTGAAGAGCTCATGTTCCGAGGGAGTTCCGAAACTCGGACTTTAGTGCCAATTGTGGGGGGTTGAAGTGGCCATTTGAGTGGTAGACGAAAAGTTTGGCTCCTTTTTTGGCGAGGCTACTCAGGAAGTGAGTTGAGGTTGAACCGTCTAGAAACCGAAACAGGATACCCCAAGCCCAAAAAACTGGTGGCGTTCCTGTGGTTTCCCCATTTAAAAACCATCCTCACGGTGCCCTGATGGTAGCCAGGTGTTATCCCCAACAGCGCCGGAACCCTGAGGAACCCTCCCTGAAAGCTGCCCCAAACCACCCCCAACGCTTTCTGTGGGGGAGCAACACGAGATGAGCCACCCACAGGGTGGGGAACGTGTTGACGTTCTTCGACCCACCTACTAATCTGGGCCATGCGTACAGGTTTGGAAAAGCAGACGATACGGAGACGAGGACCTAGGAGATTGACTCCATAAACGAGGTTCACAGACATGTCACATGTGATTGGCGCGCTTTCGGGGAACCCACGAGGAGGTTGAAATGCAAGTATCCCCAAATTAGATATTCCACCCAAGGTGGCTCACCTTGTTTTATGTTTTCTTGGAAGGGTTCCCCTTTAACTCAACTAACCAAAAATGACGCCCTTGTTGTCCCATGGCCACTGGGCATTTGACTCCATGGCATGGTTCAATTCATCTCCTCACCTCATGATAACACAACATCCGTGTTATGGCCCGAACTGGCAACCCCCTTTTGCCCACATGTGGGCAAAGTTTGTTGGTACCGATCGGAACCTCTCGACCGTGACTCATGATTGCTGTATGTGTTTGTTGACTCCAAGCATCTCCAAGCGAGTTGCATGAGCGAGCGAACCAGCTGCACATATCGAACATTATCCCATTTCTTCCAGAATACATCAGGTTCATGAGGAAACTCTCAGCTGTCGCATGTCCCTACAGGAACCAACCATCATTTGCAGTGCTCCAGGATCCGTTCAACAGTTTTTTGGATTCACATGACCTGGATCCTGCACCAAAAGAGCTGTGTGTGACTTGCAGAGATGTGAGTGGTTCCCTTAGCTGACGGGTGTTGCCTCGAAACGACAGCCGTGTTTCAGGTATAATGTACCCCTTAGATGGTGTTTGGATGGTGGTTTGGGGATTTGAGCCACTGTTTCTTGTTTCGGGGGTGAATAGGCAACCACCCCCAACCCAATCAAAACCACCAAGTAGGGGGAAGCTGAACAATGTTTGCTTATATTCCCATGAAACCAGGGGATGCGTTGTTCGATTGTTCCAGGCCTATGTAAAACGTATGCGCCCGGCAAGGTCGTGATTCCTGATGTGGGGCTGGGCGTGCAAAATCGCGAGATCGAGTCAACAAGAGCGAGCGAGCGGCCCCTGGATTTACGGAGGTTCCCAGCTTGTTTTTTTGTTTTTTTGGTGTTTAGTCCTGTTCCCTAACCTACTATATGCATCCCCCTTTGGGCAACATATGTTTTATGAGTAGGGGGTCTGTTCCCTCACCATACTCCCCCCCCACCCCCCCTGCAGGGTCGACAGTGCAGGTTTGGCGTGTCCAATTCATTCTGAAAAGGGGGGTGCTTGACTGGAAGTGGCTCCCCTACTGGAAGAGAGGTCAGGAGAATTGGTGAGTTTAGTATTGGTTTCCAATTGGGCGATTTTCTCATGTAGCATTTGAACGGGTTTTAGAAAAACATGAATTTTGTCATCACCGAGGCACCGGGGATTGCGCAAGAATGAATCCATAGACCCACCGACGATTCCCAAGATGAAGTCCTGATGTTCGTACCATTTTGGGTCCCCCCATGGTGTAATCCGCGCAATGTCCGAGATGTGCTCATAGGTTTTCTTCAGCTGTGAAACTCAGATCAATGGGCTCCTTTCCCAGGTTCTCCAGTAGTGCCATTTTACCCTTTTTCCTTTTTTTGGGGAGGTTTTCCCTGCTACAACAGACTACAGAAAAAAAGTGTGCCCTTATGCTAACCTCTCTGGAGGACCAAGTTTCGGGGATTCCAGGATTTGCGTAGAGTCACCTCCTCCACGCTTATAAATATGTAACATGACGTGTATATTTCGGGGAAGACCCCAAAAGTCACGTCTCCCCCCCTTTACCCAATACGAAACCAATATACTTCTCACCTTATCAGGGGGTACTTCCAACACTTCCCTTGTTCAACTGCTACTCACCAAAACAACACAGGACGTACCCTAATTCCAGCAAGGAACAGCTCAAAGCTGAAAACTGAACACAATGCTCCTAGATTGTAATTACTAGTATCAATATTAGCCTGCAATTCACATGTGCCAGTTGCGCATTTCAACTCCTCCGGTGGCCAGTGGCACGCTTCGATGAACAGAAAGAAGGGACTTCTGGGACCCTATTTCTAAATATGGGTGTTTATCAAGCTAGGGTTCCCTAAAATGGTTGGTTTGCTATTGCTTTCCCTGAAACATTACCAACCAAAGTGGGGTCCACCATCTTGACGAAACAGCCATATGTTTTCAACCGAGAAGGCTTTAATGATAAGGGAAAGTGCAAAAAGCGAGGATCGTGGCTTGAAGTCATAAACGGAACAGCCCCGACAGTGAAATCAGGCGCCCACGCATCTAAATCCTAGTTGCTATCTAGCTACGCCAAACAGCACTTTGGTGCATTTTGCTTGGATGTTAGGACTTTAACTTGTTGCCAACTAATTTTCCATTAAACCACCAAAAGTTAAACTTTTAGCAGGGGAGCAGACAGCTCGGTTGGAGGCAGCTCGGTTGGGGACTGAGCAACAAGGCATGGGCATATAGTCTCTTCAAGGCAGGCGCTGTACATGACCACGCAGGTTGTGGTAGCGACATTTGTCCAAACTGGAAGGTGCATCTTAGTCTAGATACAAAGGGAAGGGAAGGAGCCACGACCGAGCCTCAGATTGAAACTCGGAGTCACAGTCATCGGGTGCCATCTGATTATTGTGTTTGTCTCCTGCTGCTTGAGCATTTGACCATCACTAGTCTATGGCTATTTGGTAACGGATCTTGGGACTTTAACTGTTGGGTTGAAGCAGGTTGGATATTCAAACTTGCAGGGGGGTCGCTATACAAACCATTCATTGGGTGTGTCTCTTTGTTGGAATTGGACCCCACAACTGGCTTTGGTGTGTGTTTGCTGCTTGATTTGCCTTGTATGGTTTTTCCAAGGGACTCCCCAAATATCAGGAAAATAGGCAACCAAGTTACCAGGTCAAACAAACAAACACCCCCGTTGAAAGCGCGTTTCCCAGCCTCCGATTGAGAAGGGAGCGTTCTTATGGAGCAAGGCCGCTTTCTTTACGGATTCCGATTAACTTTCCAAGTGGCCGGACTCGGCTGGCCACTGCGCAATGCTCCAACATCTCTTCAGCCCACACGTGAATGCCTCACGAAAGAATGACAGTTTCTCTAAGTTGCCTTTTGAGCCCCTATGCGTACGCTGACCCTTCGTTCCAAGTCGATTCAAGTTGTCTAAAAGGCAGATCACGACCTTTGAGTTGCTCAGACTGCGTGGAAAAGGGTGCTTTCAACATCACCTTTCATGTTCAGTATTTGGGGATTTGGAGCCTATTTTGGTGGAGGCCCGTGTAGCTTTAAATGGGCAGAATGAGTGTACAACGCCTCACTTCAGTTCCTGGACTATAATCACTTTATAAGTTTGGACCATTTTGGTGGTAAGCAAAAAGTTCAGTTACTTTTTCTGGCCAATCCACTCAGGAGGTGAGAACCCACCCTGGTGCTATCCAAGTTGCCTTGAATGAACGTCGCTTTTTGCTCACAGCACTTTCGATGCGCTCTGTGACAGCTCACTTATCGCGTGACAGTTGCGCTGCTTGTTGGCTGGAGTTTAAGCCTTGTTTTTGTTTTTCTCCCCGAAAACTATTTGGGTGTGCCTTTTTTAAGCTTGGACCCCGCAAAATCATGGTTTTCCTTTTGGCTTCCCTTAAAAGCCAACGCAAAAAGAGTACCCCCAACAATAACAGACCCATGCTGTTCCTGTGATCCTAAAGCTCTACCATTTGAGCGTAGCCTTCTTGAGGGGCAAGATTTAGGGACCGGGGGCTTGGAACCTTCGTCAAACTTCAACTGACGTTTGTCAACCCCAAGTGGCTGGTGCTCAGCGCATCTCAGCGCTTGTTTGTCGCAAAGTTGCATATGAGCAACCGGGAGTCTGGCAGTCCATGCGGACGGCGTCAATGCTGTGGATGGCTCAAACATGAAACCAAACCAACAGCACTGGCAGTCCGAAGAGTTCTGACATGAGTTCGGATTCCTGCAATGGCGTGCCAGGCTTCAGAGTCGAAGCTTGTTGGACAGGGCATTTCCTGAGGACTCCTGAAACTGCTGAGTTCTAAATACCATCCACAGTTACACCAGCATAGCCTCCAGATAGCGAACAGCAGTCAATCCGGCCATCAATCTCGCAAGAATGCGCCCCACCGTCACCAGCACCTCAAACAGTACCCCAAACGACATCCCAAAACAGCACCCGCTGCAGCACCCCAAACTGCACGCCCCCCTAGCACCCACCGTCAATCTCGCAAATCACGGTAGCCTCTTCACTAGAAGTTAGAACCCCGGGAAGAAAGGTTTAAATTGAACTTACTTGAAACAAAGTCCTCTCTTTTCAAAGTTCCTTTCCAGTTTGACTGAACGGGACTGCGTGGCACATGGCAACAGAAAGAAAGGCCCGAAAGGATCCTCAAGCATCCCTCTGGGAGGCATGACAAACTCCTCAAAACGTGTTGTTTTGTCGGTTTGATTGGACAGGATTAAGTGGCTCTGAAGCACATAGAAGTCGAATTGGGTTCCTGGCGACTAGATTTTGTTTGCGAGTGTTCCTTGTTGCGGATGAAAGCAAGACAGGGCTTCCAGCGGTTATGTCCGCAACCGATGGTGAGGGACTGTACATCCAGGCAAGGCCTACCTTGATGTTTCAAAATTAGTGCTTTTGTTTTTTGTAAAGGGGGACCCACCCGAAAGAAACGGAGGTTGGGGGGCTGCCTAAATGGACGTGCGGAGACTATGTGACCCCTGGCAGGCCTAAGCACATACCGATGGTTCTCGGTTGGCACAGTTCTGATCGTCTGACATTTAGAAGCAGCAAGAACGTTTCTTAACTTGGTGGCTCCCAGCCATCCCTTAGCCTTTTAGCTTTTTAGTTGGTTTAGTGGTTGGATTTCATGTAACACACGAAAAGTTATTCACTCTTAGCAGGGGATCTGAGGGCAGCCCAGTTAAGGAAGGCAACAGCTGCTACTGCTGCTTCTGGTCACTTCTGGAGTTTCTGGACTTTGGGACAATCACAGCCGTTGCAAGCAACCGTTTGGACTTTCGTGTGGGCAAGTCCTGTCGGGAACATATATGCGTGTGCGCCAGGATTAGGCAGGCTGATTGGTTTTCGTCGGGCCTCGCAAAATCAAATAACGACTATGAATATTGTTGTTGTTCCTTGTTCCCGACTGCCTCATTTGGGAGTCCATCGCGAATTATTACGCGTAAACATGAGCTCACTCATGAATCTCCCAGCGATACTCAAGAAGTCACATAAACTTCCAGCCCTGTTTCAACTTGGTGGCTCCCAGCCATCCGGTTCAGCTTGGTTCAGCTTTTTTGGTGATTCTAGGTCCCCCAGTGGTGCCCTGTCTCACCCCTTTTTTGGTTGAGAGGGTTCCCCTGCTAAATAGACAAAACCGATAAAAGAAAAAGTTGGTACCCTTATTGAAACCTCTCTACTGGAGGACCTAGCTTTGGATTGCCGAATATATCCCACGAGTTTTCGACTTTTCGCGGATCTGAACGCGGCCAGCCCAGCCAAAGCTGTCGGACAGCTCAGCGCCTCCCTGGTTGAACTCCGCACGCCGGGCAGCCCGGAAGTCGGAAGGCGAGGCAACATCGGTATCCATCCAAGGACTCCGAAATATGTATGCATGTTTACCTAGAGTCTCCATGACCCTTAAAACACGGTTGGTCATTGCCCTAAATAATGGGGGCATGGACCTATTTTTAAAGGGTCATGGAGACTCCAGGTAGGTATGCACAAATTGATGTAGACTGTGACAGTGTATGTCAAATACCTCTTATGTATATATGCATAGAATTTATCTTCATGGATTCACACTTTGTGCAGCATTGCTCGACACATGTAGGCAGTCAGCAAGCACAGATGCTTCTAGCCGACAAGAAACACCCAGCGAAATTGCTTTTTCAACTTCTTGTCGGCACAGGCTAGACCGCAAGACAGCTTGTGAACTTGAGCCAGCCGCTCTGCCACATGGGAAAGCTGTATCGACTGAATGCGACCGCTCCATGATGCTTGCGTGATCACGACCAACTCACT